GCCCGGACGCGGCGGCCGCGCATGAGCGACATCCGCCACTCGCTGCTGCGCGGGACGCGCTGAGCGCGCCAAGAGGTGCTGTACCACCTGACATCTACTTCAGCAGCCAGCTGCAGAGCGCGCCGCTGCCGCTCGTGGACAAGGGCCCCGTGGAGCTGCTCGAGGAGTTCGTGTACCAGGTGCCCAAGGAGCGCGGCGCGCAGCCCAAGGTGCGGCGGCTGGGCGGCCGGGGGACCGCGGCCGGAGGGCGCTTCGCCCTCTCCCCGTCGCGGCGGCGATGTTAGCCGGGCTCGCTCGCGCCCGTGGCCTGGCTCCTCGCAGCCCTAACGACCTCCCTGGGTCCTGGGCATGGCTCCGCCGTGTGCCCGCTTGGCGCGGCGGTGACAGCCGTGCTGCCCTGGCGTTAGGGAGACACCTTGAGGGCCCGGGAGGGTGCACAGTGCTGTGCAGTGGCCTTTCCTGGGAGTAACGGCAGAGGTGCCCCCCCTGGCACCGGGCTTGGGGGGGGGTCCCCTGGGGAAGGGAGCGGCCCTGTGTTCTTACTGTCTGAATGAATGTGCATGCTGAAGCCAAGTGTCTCATCGCTTCTCCCGGGTTTGTTTTTATAGAGATTGAATTCACTTCAGGAGCTTCAACTTCTTGAAATCATGTGCAATTATTTCCAGGACCAATCCAAGGACTCTGTCCGGCAGATTATTTTCTCGTCCCTTTTCAGCCCCCAAGGGAACAAAGCGGATGACAGCCGGATGAGCTTGTTGGGGAAACTGGTCTCCATGGCAGTGGCTGTGTGTCGAATCCCAGTGTTGGAGTGCGCGGCCTCCTGGCTCCAGGTACTTCTCTGGAAATAGCCTCCTCCCCAGTCCCGGGGGAGGAATGTTCAATTAATTGGGTTTCTTGAGAGGCCTTTGCCGCGTGCTATCTGTCTACTGGATGTCACTACCCTGTATGCTGATGCCCCAGACCTATCTTTACATACAAGTAATAATCATTCTTGAGAAAACAGTAGCTTGTGATGGAACATTAGTTTAAAAAAGAAAGGCTCTGTCTTCGGAACAAGTGAAAAATCCCTTTTCTTAGTTGAAAGTGATAGGTGGGGTTGTGAAAACAGCTCCGCATGCAGCCTCAGAGGTAGGATTTGTTTCTTTAAGATCATTACGTGTCACTGTGGCACGTTTGCTTGTCTTCTATACAGTTAGGTCGGTCGGCATGGGTGTTGTTTGCATTGTCCTAGGATGACATTACAGAGTGGGTGGCTGTTCTAACGGAGAGGGACATAAGAGCTTTCCAGAGTGTTTTTATTTATTTACTTTTTAGAGAGAGAGCAAGGGAGAGGGATAGAGAGATAGAAACATCAATGAGAGAGGAACATCATCAGTTGGCTGCCTCCTGCACGGCCGCCGCTGAGGATTGGGCCCGCAACCGAGGTACATGCCCTTGACCAGAATCAAACCTGGGACCCTTCAGTCCGCAGGCTGATGCTCTATCCACTGAGCCAAACCGGCTAGGGCTCTAGAGTGTTGTAAATATCAAAGGAAAAGTGTCTCTTTACAGTTGATGTTTTGTTAGATGGTATTTCGGAAGATGCATTTTGTTTTCCTTTTTTGTTACTTAGAGTCTTTGAAAATTTGATAATCTACTTAGAGTAATAACAGATTTTTTAAAAACGTATTTTTATCGATTTCAGAGAGGAAGGGAGAGGGAGAGAGAGAGATAGAAACATCAATGATGAGAGAGAATCATTGATTGGCTGTCCCCTGCACACCCCTCACTGGGGATCAAGCCTGCAGCCTGGGCATGTGCCCTTGACTGGAATCGAACCCAGAACCCTTTAGTCCGCAGGCCAATGCTCTGTCCACTGAGCCAAACCAGCTAGGGCTTAAGTGAGATTTATTAATATTCTCAGCGATGCTAACAGAATTTATTGCATTCAGTTTCACAAACCTGTTCATTCCCAGCTTCTTGAAATGATTTTTAAAAATTGTATTTAAATATTTTCCTTGTAACTTTTTTAAAAAAATCCTCACCCAAGGATATGTTTTTATTGATTTTTTGGAGAGAGAGAGAGCAACATCTATGTGAGAGAGAGACATCAATTGCCTGCCTCCTATATCCAGGGGATTGAACCTGCAACCTAGGTGTGTGCCCTGACCCAAATCAAACTTGGCACCCTTTTGGTGTATGGAGTGATGCTCCAACCAACTGAGCCACCGGGCCAGGGCATCTTGTAATCTTTCTTATCGTTAAAATGTGTCTAGCAAGCCCTGGCTGGGTAGCTCAGTTGGTTGGAGCATCGTCCTCATACGCCAGGGTTGTGGGTTTGATCCCCGGTCAGGACACATACAAGAATCAACCAAGTGGAACAATAAATCGATACTTCTCTCTAAAATTAATTTTTAAGAATTTTGGCTAGCAAAAAGATACATTTTTGTTTGTAGTACAGAGGCAAATCTCAGTGGAGTCTGTGCCTTAATTCTCATCAGCATGATTTCTGGGGCATCTGAATTGATCGTGTGCGCTGTCTTTAACCTCAAGATTACCTCTATCCCTGACAGCCTAGTGAAGTCAAGCTTAGCATCTTGTGACCATCACAGGATTTTCTCTCTCTCTCACGGCGCAGTCGTGCTGGCATTCTGGCAGCAGGAGAGCAGATCTGAACAGCAGGACGGGGTCTCTGTGGTCTGGGTCGGGGTTTGCCGCACTGGGAGGGGCTGCAGCCTCCTCCCGGGGAAAGGCAGAGGTGGGTGGTGCGGTGTCGTGGGCAGTGTTTAGCCCAGCCGTGGGCAAACTACGGCCCGCGGGCCGGATCCGGCCCGTTTGAAATGAATAAAACTAAAAAAAAAAAAAAAGACCGTACCCTTTTATGTAATGATGTTTACTTTGAATTTATATTAGTTCACACAAACACTCCATCCATGCTTTTGTTCCGGCCCTCCGGTCCAGTTTAAGAACCCATTGTGGCCCTCGAGTCAAAAAGTTTGCCCACCCCTGGTTTAGCCTGAATGGACCGTCTGGCTCGCTGTCTCCTTGCAGTTTGCCCTGGAGGCCACGTAGGGGCCTGGGACTGTGGCGTCCCGAGCAGCCGTTGAACGTGGCAGTACTTACAGATCGGCACCTGAGTGCGAGAGAGAAGGCCGGGGCGGGTGGGGATGTAGGACCGGAAAGTGGCAGGGAAGCCTGTGGGAGGGCAGAGCTGTAAGAATGGAGGGGCCGCTCTCACCCCCGAGATAGTTCCCAGACTCTCCGGGCCCTTTAGGCGGGAGCAGCCGTCAATTTTTACCGTTGGAGTCTCAACTGCAGGTTCACAGAAGGTGTCAGAAATGATCTTTTCCTAAGGAAACTTCGAAGCAAGGCTCGGCAGGCCTTTTACGGAAAGGCAAGATAATATATATCTTAGGCTTTGCGGATCTTGTCGTGTCTGTCACAGCAGCCTGAGACAGTAGGCAAGCCTGTGCGCAGGGCTGTGCCAGGACCACCGCGTTCACAGCAGCCGAGGGGTGCAGTTGGGCTGCGGGCTGGCGTTTGCCAACCCCTGCGGCAGAGCCAGACCTCCAGGTCCTTGCCCGCTGGAGGGTTCTGCCAGGGCTGGGGGCCGGGTTTCACCAGATGTGCGCAGCTGCTGGTCGCCAGCCCGCGACCCCCGTGGTCACGCGCTGTGGCTTCTTTGCAGCGGACGCCCGTGGTCTACTGCGTGCGGCTGGCCAGGGCCCTGGTGGATGACTACTGCTGCTTGGTGCCCGGCTCCGTGCAGACGCTGAGGCAGATCTTCAGCGCCAGCCCTCGCTTCTGCTGCCAGTTCATCACCTCCGTCACCGCGCTTTACGACCTGTCGTCAGGTACGTAGCTCAGCTGGACTCCCCGATGGATAATGTTTGCCCCTTCTGCCCTTCCTCCCTCCTGTCCACACTCACAGGTGTTTTTCCCTGAGATTTGCGTTTGTTGCCAATGTCAAGTGCTTACGCACGTGCTTCCTCAGAACAGGCCCTTCGCTTACATAACCACGGCATCCTTGCCGCACCTGAGAATGGAGTATCCGGAGGACACGGTTGGCCGTCTCTCAGATGGCCCGTGTTCAGACCTCCCTGCTGGTCTCAGTTATGTCTCTGGGAGCCTCCTCTCCCCCTGGGGGGTCGGGAGAACGCAGGATCCAGCTCAGGAGCATGCATCGCACGGAGCTGTCCTGTCGCTTTTCTAGAACAGTCCCCAGCGTTTAAAAACATGTCTTAGGGCACTGACTGATTAAAGAGCTTGGGCCTGTTGTTTTGCAGAATGTCCCTCAATTTGGATTTCTTTGTTTCCTTCTGAGAAGATTCAAATGAAACATTTTGGCAACGGGCCTTCCTCAGTGTGATGTGTCCTCAGTGCCTCCAACTAGGAGGTGGGCCCTCGGGCCTGCTCTCGGTGAGGTTTTTATTTTTATTTTTAATATATTTTTACTGATTTCAGAGAGAGGAAGGGAGAGGGAGAGAGAGATAGAAACATCAATGATGAGAGAGAATCACTGATCGGCTGCCTCTTGCACACCCCACACGGAATCGAGCCCACAACCCAGGCATGTGCCCCGAACTGGAATCAAATCTAACTGAGCCACACCAGCCGGGCGTGGTGAGGATTTGGAGACTTCCTTAGCAAGATGCCAGGAGGGGTCCTCAGGTGGCCATTAGATGGCATTGGACTTCAGCTGGGAGAAGCCCTTGTCCCTGTGGTCAGATTTTATGCAGACTCCCAGTGAAGACACCCAATAAGTAGCTTCCCAGCTCTGGTTGAATTGGGGCAAAAGCTGTGGCCCTGATTTCCACTCGGGGCAGTTCGGGCCTCGCCCTGGTGAGCAGCTTGCTCTGCAGAGCTGCTCAAAGCCGATTTTCTCTTCCAGGTTCCTGCTCTGCCCTTGGCTCTTGCCCTCAAGGACTGACAAACAGTCTCCATTAAAAAAAGAAAAGAAAAGGAAGTTATTGATTTGAGAGAGAGGGGAAGGGAGAGGGAGAGAAAGAGAAACAGATGTGAGAGAGAAACATCGATCGCTGACTCTTGCACGCCCCCTCTGGGAGATCGAGCCCACAACCCAGGCATGTGCTCTGACCAGGAATCGAACTGGTGAACTCCTGGTGCCTGGGATGATGCTCAACCAATTGAGCCACACTGGCTAGGGCAGCTGTCTGTTATCTTGATCTAGTAGCTAATAGCTGTTAGTAGTTGGGAACACTATTCAGGGCTTTGCTTCCCATTAGGAAAGATTTAGTTAAACCTAGTTTACCGCTTCCTAGTTGCCCTTTTAGTCTTCAGTTATTCTAGGCCAGTGGTCGGCAAACTGCGGTTCGCGAGCCACATGCGGCTCTTTGGCCCCTTGAGTGTGGCTCTTCCACAAAATACCGACTTCTGCGCATGGGCCACGAAGTTTTCAATCGCACTGTAAGTGCTGCCCGCACATGGTATTTTGTGGAAGAGCCACACTCAAGGGGCCAAAAGCCGCAAGAGGGTCGGAACCCCTTTTGGCGGCCCTGGTTTTAGGTAATCAGGGAAAAAAGTTTTGGGCTTTAGGTCTTTGGAATGTGGTTTGTCTTTTCCTATCCGGAATGAGGAACAATTGCTTTTTTCCTAACAACCAGTAGACCCCGTCCAAAAAGCAGCTCTGAGAGCACCAGGTCGTGTTT